CTATGCTAGAGTCTGTGAACACAACAAAATGGTAAAAATCCAACAGCTATTTTGAAGAACTATCTGGGGAAAATCAAATGTAGCAACAAGGAAAAACAAACCAAAGTAAAGAAGAGTGTAGCAAAGGAAATCATTTCATAAAAAAACACAGACCTAGACACACAACACAGACAGATAAAAGAGGGGTGGGGGGAGAAACATTTCTTCTCATATAGCTTATTTCTCTTTTTAAAGAGGCTAGTAGAAAGGAGATGTGCTACAATCCAAAAGGCACGTAGTTCAAACCCACCGCCTGCTCCACAGGAGGAGGAGGAGCACTCTCCTCCCGTGAGATTTACTGCCTTTGAAAAGCCGCTGGAAGATGAGTTAATTCCAGCCTGAAGGCATACACCACCACCACCACTGGTGCAGCAGGGAACTTTGGTGGTATTAAGGAGCTGCACCACCTGTACAAAGACAAGTGGTTCAAATCTACCAGTTGCTCTGCAGGAGAAAGATGAGCAATCTCCTTCCACGCAACTTACAGCCTCTACAAAAGCACTGGTGGGTCAGCTCTGGGCTGGTTCCAACACCACAGTACACAACAACAGTGTTGTTAGCACACAACGTGCTGGACTCAACCAACAAGTCGGTTGTGCAAATTCACTAACCCCTTCATGGGAGAAAGAGGGGGCGCATCTACGCAGAATCCCCAAGTCAGAGTCAGCTAGACGGCAGTGGGGCTCAGGCTTTGTTATCTTTAACACCACGAAAGCTGGAAGTAGCATACAAGCCAGCTGACAGGCAATAGTTCTAGTTACAGCTGTTTCAAAATATTTTCTTCAATACAAAACTCAAGAGTTGCAATCTTAAATAATACATTCTTCAAAATGGGTAATCTGATTTAGATATTAAATTTCAGTAATGATCAATCTAAGAAAAGAAAACCTGCAATATTATTCATTGTAGTACATCTGTAATGTCCATCAAGGAGGGAATTAGTTAAAGAAGCAAATGCTCATTTGTATAACTAAATACTATGATCTCCAAAATGTACTAAGTTCAAAATACAAGATGTAGAAAGCCTAGAATAGGGTGTGTCTGCAAGACCAACCCAGAAGTTTATATACTATGAGCCAGTTTTGTGGAGAGGAAACAAGCGAACAGTCCGAGGCTGGACCCGTAAGTGCTGTGTCTAGCCTCTGGCTTAGGAGGAATTCTTGTTGCCTAAAAGTAGATTAAATGGGGTAGCCAAGCCTGGAAAGCTGTCATGACTACTTATGAGTAAGCCTTTCAATCAAGGTGGCAGCTTTTACATTTAGAGGGACAAATTGAGACCTTGGCTGAGCTTGTAAAACAGGTTGAATAACTCAGTGTAACCCATCTGATAGCTTGCTTTAAATCATATGTATGCACAACAGAATTTACTGCAAGACTTGTTGACAATAAAATTCTGGGCCCTCACCTAGCTCCAATCTTGGCAGTGGGTACTCCTATATACTAAAGAGACCATCACTCCAAGCTAGTTTTTACACTAAGAAGCCAACATCCTACCATGGGGCAGTTCCAGCTTGCTTCTCAACCCCAGATGCACACACAAGCAAGATTCAGGTACTAGGATGTTCCCACCAAACCACAGAGGACACAGGTTGGATTCCCCCATGGTTCCTCCCACATCCTCCACTACTATGGGGCCACTTGGATTTCTACAGTTCAGTAAGCATTCAGCTGAATGAGAGGGTCAGTTTCTCATCCAGGTAAGTACTTGGCTTTCTCCATGACCTCCTAAAGTGTCCTAACATGCTAGACCGAGGAGGAAATCACTTTCTCTTTTCCTATCAGAGTGGAAACCCCAAGTCTGCTTAGGTAAATGAGGTAGACCTCAGCTTTTCCTGTGCTCATTTCTCTGTCTCCTTGACTACTAACTCCCACTCCTTTAAGAAATGAGACTTATTCTTACTAATGTAACCCACACTAAGTACCCCGCAGATGTTGCTTCTAGAATCCCAGTTTCCTGTTGAATATATTTACCATTACAGCATTTATTAAATCACAGTGTAAAGTTCCTGCTCCTCTACTGACTCCCCAACAGAGTATGAATCCTTTCCAGCAGAAAGGTTTCTGTGGAGCACTGACATCAGAGATAATCTTAAAAAGACTGGTTGAGTAAAAATGTGTGGACAAAAAGACATTTCCATTCCTGCTTCTTGTGAGATAATTTGTCTTTCTCGACTTCCTTCACCTACAGGCTGCTGCCCTCTGCAGCTCCCAGAGGCCGACGGGCCCTCTGGCTCAGGCTGACTAGAAAAGTAGCAGGACTTTTGCTCCTTCCTCCTCCTCCTCCTCCTCACTGCAAAGACACCACTGCACCAACATGCTTGGTCCCCTCTCATCTGGCCATGATTCCAGGGAGGATGAATTCTGGAAGGATGAGGTAACTATGTAGTGTAACTGCTCACCTCACCTACACTCGGTCTAAAACTCACAGTAACTAAACACAGGAGAACATAAGGAGTGAGCATGCAATCTTCACAAACATCAAACTCAGCACAAGAAGCGTCTGACAGTCTTCACAAAACCTAAGATGACACATAGTTTATCCTATAATGCAAGGACTCAAATTTCAATTACATTCTAACGAGCTATTGCCATGGAGATATGACAATTTTAAAGGGAAAATTGCACAGACTAAATGTCTATGTTTCCTGGAGATTCTGACTAAGGCTTCAATGTATTTACTTATTGAAACAATCAAACAAGCTTTTTGCAAAAAAGATTTGATAGTGGTGTCAGAAAAACAGGACTGGAAGCTCTTTAGAATGCAAACACTTTGTTCAAGGCGGATGTATCACTTCTTATTTTTCACATTTTGAAAAGAAGCTACATTTTGTTCAGCAATAATTTTTCCTTCATTCTATCAGGAAATTCTACAGAAGCAATATTTCAAGTAAAATCAGTTCTGAAAGATCAGTTATGAATACCTATACTACAGAAGACCTCAATTAAATTTCCACAAAGCGCTGCCACATTGAGTAAACCAAGTCACTTCAGTAAGGCTGCAGCACCTGCGAGGACAGCAGCCTGGGAATTACTCACCGGCTTGACATATGCCAAAACAAATTATAACGGAAATTCACTTGTAATCACCTGTATTATCAGGCTTTATGCAAACAAGTATCCTGTAGCATGGAAATACATTTATTTATTCGGCACATCTCAAAAAAAAAAAGGGGTTTATCAGCCCCCTTTTTCCTGTATCCTTGAGAAAGTGGAGCAAACACCACATGTTGAGTGAGTCAGAAAATTAGTAGAGAATGAAAATATCAGCATGGGTGATATATTTGAAAGGCAGAAGTCATCTTCATACAAATAACTACTTTTGAAACATTCTGTTTGCCTGTCAAAGGGCTTCTTCAAAGAACCACACTATGTACTATACTAAAGGTTGTGTCTTTTGGAAATCAAAGGCTTCAAATGGTATATACAGCACTGGTCCTTCACAGAGAACTGAAAGCTGAAAATACTGTAATCTCTAGTTTTCTAAAAAAAACCTACCTGGGTAGAAAATGAATTTTTTTGAAAATTCAGAAAGTTTCAATATGGGTCCCTTGTTAGGAGTTTTTGTCTCATGAACAACTCCTACTTGCCTTTTAATGTCATACAGAGCTGTGCTCACTTTAAAACACTGAACCCAGTCTTACTTTCCATAAACTCATCACAGCCACCCTCATTTGTGTCACCTGCAGCTTTTTAAATCAAGGCTTCGAGCCTCTCCCGGCTCCACTGCCATCAGGTTGGCTGTAACGCACAGCAATTCCATGGGATGGAGGCGAGAGTCTGGCAGGGTTTCCAAAGCTGTAAATCTTCACAATGCACACTGCTACTTCCTTCTGAGGAGCTGTGAGTGACTTCAAACTGCCGACCTTTGCTTAGCAATCAAGAATTTAACCACTGTGCAACCATGGCAAATTCATTCATTCATACGCGCGCACACACACACACTGTCAACTGTCAGGTCGGCACTGACTCACAGCTCACACTGCAGAGCATTTTGGAGGCTGGACACCACACGGGAGGAAATTACCCATCTTTCTCCTGCAGAGTCACTGGTGGATTCGAACTGCTAGAGCAGCCTCCCAAGGCTAAGAACTATATGCAACTATACTAACTTATCTACAAACATGGAAAAAGGAGAATTAGAAGTGCTATATCACTCATAACCTGGGGACTGCAGGATTCTACTAGTAATGAGAATATTTAAACCAAAAACATTTTTCTACAAAAACATGTTTTAGAATTAAATTCTAGCTGTAAGGGAAAAAAAATCCAGGTATAAAACAAAGATGTAGAACAACATATCTTGAGGTCCCTACTTGTGCTGTCTCTAACAGAGAATCAAGACGCAAGCCCAAGGCTTCTCTAGTGTCATACAGAACATTTTAACTGCAAATCAATGTCTGATTTCTGTGAGTGGCATACTGAAATCACATACCGATAATCAAGTTTCTTGTTTAAACCACAGGACATTTAAGTCCAGAGCCAGGACACTGGTCCCAACTGAGTCATGCTTTTGTGTTTGCTTCCTCACCATGAGCCAGCCAAGAGCTGAATCCATGATGTAGACTTTGAGACATTTATCCCTCAGTGTGCTTTCTTCATTACAACTCTTTTATTAATTTTGCATATTACAGTAAGTTACTTGTTAACTGGACTCTTTGAAAACCAAAAAACTAGAACCACTTCTGTAAACTCTTAGTAATTCCTCTGTCATATGTACTGAGCCACTGAGAGTGACAATGGAACTCCAGCCATGGGGACGGTTCTTTCCACAAACCTATTCATTCCACCACCCATCAAAAAAGAAAGAAGCAATAGAGTTCAACATAGTTTTTTTAAAAACATGATCCCAATTTCTGATAAAGCAGGTTCTCAAACAACTTTCTGACAATTCAGAAGTATCATTTAATCAAAAAAGAGCATTCATTCTTTTGTACTTTGACCCTGGAAGTGGAGCAAGTTACCTCTCTTAAGACTGTGCTTTTGTAGCCTCGGTACAATCCTGGCACGCCCTGAAACGAACAAAAGGCAAGAGCTCAGAAGGCTGTAAGGGTAGAGGCAGCTTCTGAGTGACACTCCCAACAAGCACACTGCCTGCTATAACACTTGTGTTTCAAAATACAGTCATCACAATTCTCAAATGAGTTAAAGGTTCTAAGCTGATGGTCATAAAGTTCTAGTCAGGTCCCTTTAAAATGGGAATAGTAATAAAACAGACCACGTTATTAATGAAATTTTAGTTTTTAGTATTTGAAATTCCTTCTCTCCAAAAGAAAGGTTTTAAAAAGAGTATTGAGAATACCATGGACTGCTAGGAAAACAAACAGATTTGTCCTGGAAAGGGTTAAGCCGGGTGGCTCCTTGGAGGCAAGGATTCTGAGGCTCCGTCTAACATACTTTGGACATGTTGTGAGGAGAGACCGGTCCTTGGAGAGGGACATCATGCTTGGGAGGGTGGAGGGATGGCGCAGGAGAGGAAGGCCCTCTATGAGGTGGATTGATTTGGTGACTGGGATAATTGGAATGGGAGTGTCAGAGACAGTGCGATTGGCACAGGACAGAGAGGAGTTTAGGGCTGTTGTACATAGGGTCGCTATGAGTCGCAAGCGACTCGACGGCATATAACAACAACAACATATTTCACAGAGAAAACAGTGTTGATGATCTTAATTTAAAAAACACCAGGAACTCATTAGCAGTCTCTCAGTCCAATTGTGGCAAACTGTTCTGAACCAGCCCTGGTTTACTGTGTCTATCCCCACTTTGCAGTGTGAGGTCTGACCTGGGCTGACTTCATTCACGTAATTAAATGTCAGTATCTCCTCACCAGGGTGACAGAGGCCAACAAAAGCAGTTTTTCTAAAACTTAAGACTCATCCAAATTTCCATGAGATTCTCTTTAGACAAAGAGATGTCTGTAAAAATCCCAAGGTAGAGCAGCTAAATATTCCCTGTTATTTTAAGGTGCCAAATCTATTTCAATTCATAGCAACAATACATGCTGGAGAACTGTCCTACAAGACTTTCTAGACTAGACTGTAACTTTTACAAAGGAGCCCTGATGGCACAAAGGTTAAATGTTTGTCTGCCAACCAAAGGGATGGCAATTCAAATCACCAGTACCCTAAACAGAGAGAAAGTGACGGTGAGCACACAGCAAGATCACAGCTCAGGGAATCCTTTCTCCAGGGGCTAGATGGTCACAACCCAGGGAAGCCTTTCTTCAGGGACCAGTCAGTCCCAACAAAAACACAGCCCAGGGATCCCCTTCTCCAGGGGTCAGGGGTCAGGGGTCTCCAGGGACCGTGGATGGGCTGCATCCATCAGTCTCTGTTAACAGCGTCACCATGTGCCATCACAGCTCTGAAATGCTCCCTCACATGGTAAAATACTGGTATCTGATGTTTTACATAAAAAGTTTACAAATAAGATTTTTGGCCAAGAACTTAACACTAATCAGCACAAGAACAATTACATCTTGTAAGAACATTATGACACTGTCCTCAGGAACACTGTTTTATTAAATTTCTTTTTCATGGGTCTTCAAATTCTGCATGAAGTTTTCACAAAATATTTACAATTTAGTCCACATCTGATTCCAAGAGAACTACGGGAAAATTACAATGCTGGACACACATATTACTGGCATTCACTATGGAACTGGGGGGGGAAAAATCAAAACCAAAGATAATTAAGCACAAAAAGTTCCAAGTGGACATTAAAAGCAGCTTGACAGACCCCTCTAAAGCGGAGGGCAGAGTCCAGTGTACTACAAAATACCCCAGAAAACAAAAAATGGAAACGTAAAAGTAATCTCTCAGTAATATCTCACCTCTTGATACAAGATGTTAGAAAAAATATGAAACGTCCGTGACGAAGCAGATACCTGTGCCCTCTGCTTAACGACCTCAGAAGGAACGCGTATCAGACAGGCAACCTAGGAGAAAGAAATTTCATTACATCCTAAATATCAGCTATAAACATTGCTTAAGATTGGTTTTGTTTTTGTTTTTTAAATCTGTAGTATTTAGGATTAAAATATCAGGACCCTTAATCAGCATGCTGGGTTTTGCCAGCAGATCCTATCATCCCACACACATCCTTCTTCATAAGCCTACCCATAAGCACATCATCTCTCTCTAGGCCTCTAAATGGCAAAAAGCACACAGGCGGCTCATTTTGAACTACCAACACTTAACCTAGAAAGGCATCAGGCACAAAATAAGTATTTTAAACACATTTAATGAAAGAACGCAGCAATGAACTTTGCTCCACAGAAGCAATGCACCCATCAGTAGAAGCAAAGCTGATTAGCACCCAGGCCTTGGAGAGGTGCATCACACTTGTAAAGACGAAAGGTTGACACAGGAGAGGAAGACCTCCAACAAGATGAATTGACACAGCAACAGTAACAACGGGCTCAAGTATACAGGAGACGGAGGATGGCACAAGACAGGCTAAGGTTCAGATCCATTGTTCACAGGGTCACTATGAGTCTCAGTTGACTCAACAGGACATAACAACAAATAACATACAAGTCTGGTCTGTCCATCCCTATCCATTGAATCCCATCTCAACCAGCTCTAGTGCTAGAAACCCAGAACTTTCCATTGTGTCACATTCCTGGACCCTGCTCCAGCAATCCAGTTAGCAGTTCTGATGGGTCCATACTTCAAACCTTAATGATTTTAAATACTGGGTATTTAAAAACAAAAACCTAGTCCAATGATGATTAATTTTATAAAACGCAATGCATTGGAATAATTGTATGAAACATAATGTGAATCAACAACAGTGTGAAACACAATGTATACCAACTTAATAAGCAAAATAATACAGCTTTTAAAAAAATAAACACAAAAACCCAGTATCAACCTCCCTGTGATCAAGCTGGAACTGACTCATAGGTGACCTCCAGGGGGCTTCTGAGAGGCTGTAACGTACACGGGAATAGACTGCCCGTCTTTCCTCTGCAGAGTAGCAGGCAGATTGAAACCACCCAGAGGTGCACAGCCTTTGGATGGTAGAGCAAGTGCCAACATACTAGCTCACCAAAGCTCCCTCAGTATTATAGTTACATGCCTTCGAGTCCACTATGGCCCGCAGAGACGCGATGAATAACAGATCTGAACCTTGCCCTATCCTGCACCATCAGCACAGTTTTTTATATGCTCATGGCCACTGTTACAGTCCCTGTGTCAGCCCATCTTGCGGGCAGTCTTCCTCTCCCGCTCTGATCCCTCACCTTCCAAGCATGATGCTTTTATCCAGGGACTGCCCCTCTGATCGCAAGTCCTAAGCACGTGAGATGACGTTTCACCATCCTTGCCTCTAAGGAGCACTCTGCTGTGCTTCTTCCAGGACAGAGTTGTGTAAAAACGGTGGTGTGGTCAGGAAAGAGTCGCCCTCCTAACCCACAGGCAGTGCCCAGAGCTCTGGTAGCGCAAATCCACCAGCTGTTCTGCGAGAGAAAGATGGTCAATCTCTTCTGTGCTTTCCAGCTTCTCTGGGTATGTCGTTGTTATGCACTGTCACGTCGGAATCGACTCAGAGCTGACTCTCTAGTGGGTTTCTAGAGGCAGTCAATTTATATCCACAGCTGAGGGGGCGTGAGTACCGGAGAGGGAGGAGGAAGACTAGGAGGCCCAACAGGGGGCCGGAGAGAGCAACCTAGGTCAGCGACTCCCAACTCCGGAGGAGAGTGAGCGTGGTGTAAAGGGATTCATTAGCCATGTTTGTATTCATGAAAGGACCTTCAAAGGCCAAGGAGGGGGTTGTGGCAGCTGCTAAAAAGACCAAACAGGGTGTGGCAAAAGCAGCAGGAAAGACAAGAGAGGGTGTTCTCTAAGTAGGCTCCAAAACCAAGGAAGGAGTGTCCATGGGGTGACAAAGTGGCAGAGAAGACCAAAGAGCAGTGGTGACAGGTGTGAAAGCAGGACAGAAAACAGTGGAAGGGCCAGGGAACACTGAAGCTGCCACTGGCTTGGGCAAAAAGGATCAGATGGGAAAGGGTAAAGGAGGAGTCTCACAGGAAGGAATTCTTGGAAGATATGCCTGTGGATCCTGACAATGAAACACAGTAAATGCCTTCTGCGGAAGGGTCCCAAGATTACAAGCCTGAGAAGTCAATCTTCTCCATGCTCCCAAGATCTGCTGACAGCTGCTCCACCTTTAACCAGTGCCAGGTCCAAGGTGCCCAGCAATGGCATTTCCTTGAGGTCTCTACAGTGTATGCTGAAGTCTTCCGTCAGCAGTGATCCCTGGCCCCACTCCGTGTTTCAGTGCTCCCTTTGCACAGGGATGAATCAATGGTGGCAGGCTTCTTGTATGCTGGGGATACTGTGGCTCCAAATTCAAAAGGTGAAAGCAAGTAAAAAACACCCGAGTGACAACCACGTATTTCTAAACATTCACTGGTTTTTGTTGTTGTTAAGTTGTAATTTATTATTGTGTCTTATAAGATTTTTAGATAGCTTTTAATTATTTCTTTTGTTCAAGAATAACAAAGTATTGTGAAAATTGTTAATATATACAACATGTGAGCATGAAACTATGGACCTACACATATATTAACTATAAATTTTACTGTCTTGTGATATGTTTAAACAACTTGTGTTTGTACCTAAATGGTGAAATTAAAATGATAGGTCATTACTAAAAAAAAAAAAAATTATATACTTATGTATGTTGTGATTATGTGCCATCAGCCATCTGGGATTCACAAAGACTCTATGCAAAATAACTCTGCACCCTGCCATCTCCTGAGCCAATATCACTGTCTCCAACACTGCTACCCCTATTACCCCAGTCACTCTATTTCATCCAGGGTCTTCCTCTCATGCACTGTCCCTCCACCCTTCCAAGCATGATGTCTTTCTCCAAGGACTGGTTCTTCCTGGCAGTATGCCCAAAATATGTGAGATGGAATTTCAAAATCCTTCAAAATGCCTCCAGAGAGCAACTTGGTTTCACTCTATCTGGGATAGGCCTGTTTGTTCTCTTGGCAGCCAGGCAGTATGATCAATACTCTCCTCTGGCATCACAGCTCAAAGGCATCGATTCTTCTTCAGTCTCCCCTACTTGCTGTCCAGCTCTCTGATGCACACCAAGTAACTGCAAAGACCATGGCCTGGACCAAGCACACCTTAGTTTCTAGACTGGTATCTTTGTTCTTCGGTATTCTGGAGGGATCCCTGACAGCAGATTTTCCTAATCCAATTCATCTTTTGATTTCCTGACTGCTGGTGCCAAGAGTGTTGATTGTGGAACCAAGAAAGATGAAACTGTTAACAATCAATCTCTTCTCCACCTAGCATTCTACTGCCAAATGGCCCAGTGGTGATAATCTTTGTTTTCTTGATGTTGAGCTTTAGTTCATACTGAAGACTACAGTCCTTGACCTGCAGCAAATTCCTCAAGTCCTCCTCAGTTTCTGCAAGCAAGATTGTGTCATCTGCATAATTCAGGCTGTTCAATGCCACATTCCTCCTCATAAGGACCAGCCTCCTGAGTGATCATCCGTCCCTCATAAGAGATTGGAAAGGTATGGAGACAGAACGTATCCCTGGCACACTCCTTTCCTGATTTTGAACCATGTAATGTTTCTTTTCTCTGTTCCGACAACTGCTTTTGGGTCCAAGTATAGGTTTCTCACGAACACAATCCAGAGTTCTGGGATTCCCACTCTTCTCAATGTTAGCCAAAATGTGTTGTGATGCACACAGTCAAAAGTCTTTGTGTAGTCAACAAAACACAAAGACATGCCTCTGGTACTCTCTGATTTCAGCAAAGATCTATCTGACATTGGCAATGATGTCCCTAGTGTCATGGCCTCTTCTAAACCCTGCTTATATTTCCGGTAGTTCTCTGCTGATACACTGTTTCAGTTGTTTTGGGATAGACTTTGGCAAGATTTTCCTTGCATATGATATTAGTGATGTTGTTTCATAATTTCCATACTCTGCTGGGTCACATTTTTGTTTTGTTTGTTTTTTTTTGAATGGGATTAAATATGGATCCAGTCCATTAGCCAGGTAGTTGTCTTCCAGATTTCTTGGCACAACTTGGTGAGCATATCTAGGGCAGCATTTGTTTGCTGAAACATCAATTCGTATTTCATCAATTCCTGGGGCCTTGTGTGGGTTTTTTTGTCAATTTCTGCAAAGCCTCTTGAACTTCCTCTTTCATGATTACTGCCTCTTAACCCATAAACAAACACAGAGGGAGAATATGGACAGTCTTTACTGACAGGAAGCAAAATAGAAATGTTCTTGCTGTTGTTGTTAGGTGCCGCTGACTCAGGACCAACTCATAGCTGACCCTCCAGCAGGCTTTTTAGAGGCTGTAAGTCTCACCAGAGGGGAATGTCCATCTTTCTCCTGTGGAGCAGCTGATGGACTGAACTGTGTGCCTTTGGAGGCCCCTAAAATAGAAATAGCCTGAAGTAAATTAAACAAAGGTTTTACATAAACTGTTGTTTTTGCTGTTGTGTATCGTAGAGTCGGGACAGACCGATAGTGAACCCGTTGGTGGGTTTTTAGAGGCAGTTAATGGCACAGTTTGACTGTGTGGATCATAACAAACTGTGGCTGACTCTCAGAAGAATGGGAATCCCAGAACACTTGATTGTGCTAATGAGAAACCTACACTTGGACCAAGAGGCAGTCATCAGAACAGAGCAAGGAAACACTGCATGGGTCAAAATTGGGAAGGGCGTGCACCAGGGATGTGTCCTGTCTCCATACCTTTTCAACCTGTATGCAGAACAGATTATCCGGGAGGCTGGGCTCTATAAGGAGGAATGTGGGATCAAGATTGGTGGAAGATCTATCAACAATCTGCGATATGCAGAAGACACGCCCTGCTTGCGGAAAGTGAGGAGGACCTGAAGCGCTTGCTGCAGAGGGTCAAGGACTGCAGCCTCCAATATGGATTGAG